CTTAACATGCAGACAGGCAGAGTGTCCAAGACATGAGACGGATTTCTCCTTACCCAGAGACACCATATGACTGTAGTTCTCCAGCATCACATCCCGATAAAGGATCCTCTGAGCAAGACTCAGCAGCTTCCACTCCTTCTGGGTGAAGGCCACAGCCACATCCCTGAAGCCCATTAATGCCTGTAATACAAACACATCGCTGCTCACCCAGAAGCCATCCATTGCCACTACTCAACTTAACCTAAGCCACTAACCAGGGCTGAGGCAGCAGTAAGGTTCTCATGGGGCACCCACGTGAGATCCATAGATCCTGCTTTCAGCCTGAACCCTGGTGCCCTGTGTTCAAAACACTAATCCTCCTCCCACATTGCTGGTGGGTCTATTCAGGGGTTCTCTGTTCTGTTCTATTGATCTCTGTGTCTATGATGCTGTGAAACACACAGTGTTGAACACTGTGTATATACAGCAGGGCCTGAAATCAGGGAGACTGATTGCTCCTACTTTATTCCTCACTTTAAAGGCTATTTTAGATATTCTAGAGCATGTGCATTTCCATATAAATTTTAGAATAATCTTATCTGTATCTATCAAAAAACCATGCCGGAATTTTGACAAGATTAGCATTAAACCTGTATATTAATCTGGGGAGAACTGACATCTTTACCATGTTGACTCTTCAAATCTACAGACATGATATGTTTCTCAATTTACTGAGATGTTCTTTGATTTCTTTCACCAGCATTTTGTGGTTTTCAGCGTACAAATCCTATATATGTTGTGTTAAACTGACATCTAAGAATTTCTTCTTTTTTTTTCAGTAATTTTAATGGTATTGTATTTTTAGTTCAGTGACCATATGTTCATTGCTATGAGATGAAAATAAATTGTTTGTATATTTATCTTGAATCCTGCAACATGGGTGAAATCACTTATTAGCTCTGGGAGTATTTTTTCCTCTTAGATTCCTTGAGATTTTTCTATATATACAGTCATGGCATTTGCACATAGGGACAGGTTTATTTCTTGCCTTATAACCTATAAGCATTTTATTTCCCATTCTTGCCTTATTGTAGGAGTTCTAACACAACAGTGAAGAGTGGTGAGAGCAGACATCCTTGCCTCGTTCTTGATGAGGAGGAAAGCATTCCATCTCAAAGCACTAAGAATACTGTTCCACAAAGAGACACCATGTCATGCCCACTAGGAAAGCTATTACCAAAGAAAAGGAAAAGAACAAATTTTCGGCAGAATATGGAGAAATTGGAACCTTTGTGCATTGCTAGAGGAAAGTAAAATGGTGTAGTTTCTATGGAAAACAGTTCAACAATTACTCAAAGAGTTAAATATACAAAAAAAAAGTTAAACATTCAATTTTCCATATGATCCAGCAACTTCAATCCTAGGTACATACCCCAAAGAATCGAAAGCATGGACTGAAATAGATACCTGTACACCAATGTCCATAACAGCATTTTTCACAATAGTTCAAAAGTGGAAACAACCCAAATGTCCACCAACAGATAGACTAAAAAAAATGCAATATGTATATACAACACAATTATATATTACTTAGCCTTAAAAAAGAAGAAAATGCTACATCAGAGATTACTCTTTTTTTAAATTTATTTTGCACTTATTTAAATGTTTTATTGGGGTTTTTTGTTTGTTTGGGGGGAAGTAACTAGGCTTATTTATTTATTTTGATGGAGATACTGGGGATTGAACCTAGGACCTTGGGCATGCTAGGCGAATACTCTACCACTCAGCTATACCCTCCCTCCTCAGAGATTACTCTTGAAAACATTATGCTAAGTGAAAAAAACCAGTGATAAAGGACAAATACTGTTTTAGTCCCCTTACAACAGGTACCTGAAACAGACAATATAGAAACAAAGTAAAACCAAGGTTACCAGGGACTGGAGGGGAGTGGGGAATAGGAAGTTATTGTTTAATGGATAGAGTTATCACTCTGGGAAGATGAAAAAGTTCTGGAAATGGAGAATGGTGATGACTGGACCATGTTGTGAATGTACTTAGTGCCACTGAAGTCAACATTTAAAAATGGGTGAAAATGTTATGTTATGTATATGTTAACAACAACAAAAAATAATGTTACCAATAGTTTTTTTTAGATGTCCCCAATCAAGTAGAAAAATCCCCAAGTTTCTATCATTCTAAAAATTTTTTTCACCACAAATGGCTATTGAATTCTGTCAAAAGCTTGTACTGTATCACCAAATTATATCATGTAGTTTTTCTTCTTCAGCCTGTTAATATGGACAGTACTTTGAGTTTCAAATATGGAACCAGTCTTGCATCCCTGGAGTAAATCATACCTGGTAATGGTGTATAATTGTTTTTATATATTGTTGAATTCATTTTGCTAATAATTTAAGGATTTTTGTGTCTAT